CTAGATATGACATGATGTGACATGCATACATGTGCCATGCATGTGTCAAGCAATTTTTTTCTGTATCTTATTAAAAAGTAACAAGAAAAGACATGTATTAAACATGCATGTTGTGGTCACGGCTTAAATATTTATTTGAACATGTGTTAGAATGTGTTTTGAATGCATGTATTGTTATCGCTGTTAAAACATATGTTTGAACATGTTTGAACCATGTTGATCTTTGTTTGATTATGGTGTGAATAAAGTTTGTTCATGGTTCGAACATATGTTTCATTTTAGATTAAATTTATGATTGAGATTTTCTTTTTTTATTATGTGATTTTATGATTTTTCATAATAATAAATCTTTTGATGATTTATGATATTTTTATGAATTAATTTTAATTTTATGATCTTTTTTTTTTATTTTTGAGGTTTAAGGCTTAAGCCTCGATTTATTTTGAGGCTTATACCTCGTTTTACTAAGACAAAATGCCTTAGTTTTTGATTCACCTTTTTAAACCTTAGTTGCGAGTTAAGTGGAATAGTTGTGATGAGAATGGAGGAACTGTGGAGACTTGAAGATTAGTTTGGGGCTTTTATTTTTCAAACAAAGAAGTAAACTATGCATTTGACGATTAATTTTATTTAAATTACTCTTTTTAGAATGTTTTTTTCATATTTGGCAGAAGAATAAAATCAATTACTATATAAATTTGATTTTATGTATTTAATATTTATATAATTGATTTAAACCATATTTTTATTTTCTTAAAGATATATATTATTGACTTATCCAACATGTGTTCTTGTCTTATATTTTCAATATTATTTTGGCTATCATCATATTTAGTCGATGAATTATAGCTTTTTCTCTTTACAACGTGATTCACCCCAAAAAAAAAAGGGTATAAATAGGCAAGCTGAGTGAGCAAGTGAAAACAATAGTTGATTTGGTTGATTGTTTGAGGTATCTAGCTCTTCACTTTCTACAATACAAATTAATCTTCAATTAGTCTTTTGCATGTTGCTTATGGATGATGCATGTCAATGTGATGTATGGAAAAAAGTTTAGAATATTAATTTGTTTCTTAGTTAATATATTATGCTAATGCCTAGATGCGTAGAAGATTAGAAAAAAATTGAACTCGTATTTTTTTTTGTCAAATAACAAACCACATTCATATATTTGGCTTAGGGTTTGCCTAGGGTAATTTTTTACCTGCTTTGCATTTCAGACTGTCGCCAGATACTTGTTTGGCTTTTGGGGAATTGTTTTTTTTCCCTTTTTTTTCGAAATTGATATAATGTGAAACTAGTGTTGCAACCAAATCTGTTAAAGTGAGAAAGTTGCTATCTGGAATTGTGAAAAAAGAAAATGTATATAAATTTTACAACAACTTTCTTAAGAATTATTTTCCTCACCACAGTTCTACAACCATTTTTACAAAAAAATCTGCGGTTGCTCCAAATGGACTCTTATTTAAAATGTATTTATTATATAGATATAGAACATATTTTAAAAAATTTAATATAAATGATAAGTATTATTAATTATTTATCGATTGATTCAATAGGATAGATGAAATTTTAATTTTTTTATATTCTTGAAGTAATTATCATTAATAAATCTTCAGATTTGTAGAACAATTTACTTTCTTCATAATTTTATTTAGGAATTTGTAAATCTATCAAACCAAGAAATAAAAGTAAAATTAATCTCAATTTGATTCGTAGATGAAGGATAATTTTGATTGTTTCTTCATTATGTAAAGATTCTTCAATTTATTTATCAACATTTAGATGTATGACTCTTATTTTAAAATCAATTTTAGATTAAAGTTTTAATTAAACTTTTGTTCTATAAATGTGCACTTCAAAATTACTTTCAATTTTGGATTTAGACTTTTGTGCTCCAGTATAGGGTATAGTTCATGAATATATTCTACTATAACTCTGATGCAAATTCCTGTTGAATAAAATCATTTTTAGGTTTTTTTCAATATTTTTTCTATATTGATTTCATCATATAAATAATATTAATGAATTACATGTTTGCTAATAATATCAAATCTAAGTATAGATGATTCTTGTATTTGTGTTTGCTTATCAGGCTTTAGATATGACGCTAATTATTTTTCCTAAAAAAAAATCCAACATTATAATGGTCTTAACAGGAAGATAATTATGATCTTTTCTCAAGAAGTAAAGCTTTTATGTGTCCTCATTTACTGTTTTTTGCCAACTCATAACTTAGTTCATCTTTAATTTTCTGCCTAAAATTTTAAATAAAACTTTTATTGATAATATTGTAATCTATAAATAAATAATATTTTGCTACTAAATCTTTTAATCTTATAAAATTTTCAAATACATTATAATCACCTTGTTTAACTCTTTAAATTGACTATATAAAGTATCTTTATTATTAATGAAAAATGAATATTGCTTGCCAAATTAGTTGATCGAGTTCAACTATTTAAAAATTCAACTCTGTAGGAATTAACCATATATCTTTCAAATATTTCTTCTAAAATATTTATTTAATTTGAAAACATCTCAAAATTACCTCATATCAAATGCAATATATCTTTATTAACCTCATATTAGTCTCATTAAAATTGCATTGAATCATAGTTTTCTAGATTTTACTTAATATCAATGTTTAATTTTGCCACTAAGTCACTTTGATATTATATCCTGCATTTAGAAGACCTTACGAGTCATTTTAAAAACTCTTGATATCAAGCTTATGCAGGATGCCTTAGGATTTTGATTTTTTTAAAGCTGACCTACTATGGAATGCACAAAAGTATGCAACATGAATTCAAAACTTCGTGGGTCACATTAATTTTAACAATTGCTTGTTACTTTTAATTACAATAAAAAATATGTTGAGAATTGATAGAAATGAAAATTCAATAGCTCTTTACTAGATATAATGAATATAAATTTAGGACTAAGAAAGTGACACAACAGATTGAAATCAATACACTTGTGCATTTGTTGAAAACCAGATTATGTTGAATTTGAGCTAAATATCAGTCAAAGTATTAAACAACTATTGAAATAAATTAAATGCAATTCCTGCGTTTTATTGAAAGAAATCAAAAATTTAAAATTCATGATAGTGCAATGATTCACAAAAAGATCAGCCATGATAGCTACAAGGCAATTCCCGCGTTTTATTACCTTAGAATTTGAAAAGAAGCCAAGATTCCTGCATTCTCACAATAGAAGAAGGAAAGGATCACAACTCCCTTGATCACAGTAAAGTGGAAACAGAGTGTAAGTTCCACATAGTTCGCAATATAAGAGTAAATATTTGAAAAATTCTGCATTCACAAATGGAGGCATGGTGGTGGAAGCATGCAGATGCTGTAGAAGAACCTTATCGGGCTACAATAGAAGGCAGATGCAGTAAGAGAAGTGACAAAAATGATATTAGTTGCTGGAGTAGAATATTTTAAGATAATGATATAAGCCCTACATCGCTCACATTTCAGCGGGCTTGCCAATTGGAATGGAGGCTGGAAGGGGGTTCCTTGAGATGTGGCAGTGGCATATCTAGATTTTGGATGAGAATAAGGATGACTAGGATCTCTTATTTAAAATGGTTATGCAGGAGGTTTGTTCTGCTTATTTATCACTAGTGTGAAGTAGCCATTGTGTGTGATACCTGCTTATCCATCCTGGTTTTAGTGATCTTTCAATGGAAAGGTGATCTCTTTTACCTTGTTTAAAAATTGACATATCTAAATATTTCGGAGTACGCAAAACTTCTTATGGAAGTACGAGGATCAGCTGGATATGTAATAAATGAAGTGCTCTTTTTAAATTTCACCATAATAAACAGATGCCTAAACTGCTTTGCTACAATGTCTTTGGTAGTTAATCTTTTTTCAATGAACCATTGTGCCAGTTAATCTTGTTGGTAGTTAATCTAGATTTTGGATGAGAATAAGGATGGCTAGGATCTCTTATTTAAAATAGTTACGCTGGAGGTTAGTTCTGCTTATTTATCACTAGTGTGAAGTAGCCATTTTTTGATACCTGCTTATTTATCCTGGTTTTAGTGATCTTTCAATGAAAAGGTGATCTCTTTTACCTTGTTTAAAAATGGACATATCTCAATATTCGGAATGCGCAAAACTTCTTATGGAAATATGAGGATCAGCTGGATATGTAATAATTGAAGTGCTCTTTTTAAATTTCACCATAATAAACAGATGCCTAAACTGCTTTGCTACAAGCTCGTTGGTAGTTAATCTTTTTTCAATGAAACATTGTGCCAGTTAAATTTAAGTACGTTTCTGTAGATTCAATTGAAGCTTAGTTTTGACTTGGTCATCTTTTGTCATGTTTTTAGCCTTGAAAATGCTAAAATTTTATTTACCTTACTGTATTATTGAAATGACAAGGCATTCCACACATCGGGACGTAATGAATGCTGCTCTTTATCTCCGCAATGAACCTGTAGATTCTATGTGGAGCCTTATAATACGTTCTTGCTCTTCTTTCATGCATACAATAATATTGGAATTCCTGTATGTTATTCTTTTATTTGTCTTATATGGATCTATCCTCTTTTATTTTTGAGTCTATCTGATTTTTAAAACTAGTTCTTTATCGCTAAGTCATCTATATGCACATTTCTAGCAGCAGTGCTTCCATCTGCTCTTGCTTGTAGGAGCTTTCAATAACAGGCTGAACTAGATTAATGTTATTATCTATCATACTTATTTTTGAGCTTAAACTAATCTTTTCTTTTTGGGTTTTTATCTGTTGTTTGGCATATGTACTTAAAGCAAAAGACCGAGTACTATGAGTTTAATGCTTTTTTGGGGGTTGGAAGACCATTTTGTTGACCTATTCATCACTTCCAATTAAGCATCATTTCTTTTTCTTATTAAGGCCATGGGAGTGCTTATTTTCACTTGAAGAATTTCCGTCATTCTCCTTGATGAAACCTTTTATTTCTTTAAGCAACACTCTTCTATTTTGCTTTTATTATTCAGGTTACCCTTGCCAATGCCTGTGCAAATGCCTCTCATGGCCTACAAGAAAGGGCTGCTGGAGCTTTGTGGGGATTGTCAGTGTCAGAAGCCAATAGGTAATGCTAACTGCTGCTTTTCCACCCTATGATTCTGAATGATGATCAATCTTGTTATTCCTTGTTTCTGATTTCATCATGCTTGTGTAAAGTTGACAAGCTCTTGGCATTCATAAATAACCTGGAATCATCAATAATTGGAACTCACATTTTTGTGTTCTTAACCGGAGCTTCTCTTAAATGCTTTGAAACTATGGCTTGATGGCTGCACTTCAAAATTTAAAGGTCATGCTGTAGTTTATTAAGATTTATCTTCCAACCATAAAGTTTAGGTTATGTTCTAGGTATCAATTACTAGTGTTTAATTATGTCCAAACTAGAATAAGTATCTCACATACATGTAGACGCATTTTGTACATTTCAAAAAATATATATAATTCTAGTAATTCATTTAAAAGAATTTGTCTTGGGCAGCGGCTTTTTGTTATTGGATTTTTTTTTGAGTTGTTTAATGATTTGTTATTAAAAGCTTAAATAAATAAATTTCTGAATGTAAGTAGAAACTTGTGAATTTTAAGCTTTTTTGTTTAAAGATAAAATATGTTACTCCGTATTTTATTTCTTTTTCTTATTATTTAAATTGATTTTTTCTTTTGTGTGGTGTGAATTGACATTTCTTTATGCATATTTTTTTTCCAATATCATCTCATCTATATCTCATGATTTACAATGGGCATTAATACCGTTCTTTGTCAGATATACAATATTAATTACAGCTCACTTGAGTCATAGACTTCTAGTTGGTTATCTCCAATTGATGACACTTGTATACTCTTGGATACCATAAAAAAAATTTCATACGACATCCAGGGGTGTCAAAATTTGACCCGACAAGCCAACCAGTCTTGAACTCGACTTGAAAAATCTGGATTAGGGTTGACCCAAATATTTTTTGAATCAGGTCCAAGCCAGAGAATTCGACCCGTTTATTATTCGGATCGGGTTCGGTTGAACCCAAAAAACTAAACATGACACGAGTAAGCACGAAATTTCGGGTCAGGTTCGTGTTAGCGGGTCAAGCTCAGGTTCAGGTTGGGCTTGGGTCTTAGTTTTTGACCTGTTTATTATTTGGGTACAGTTTAGGTTGACCCTATTAAGGTTGGGTCATTTATGGGTCGGACCCGAACCCGACCTGCTGATCTAAATTGACATCCCTAATGACTCTTTTTTTTTTGCTAAGGATTTCTAGCACTTTTTAGACGATAATACTCTTTGAATAGTATTGGCATATATATATATATATATTGTGTGTGTGTACATATGTATTTCTTTTTATGTATGTTTGTCATATGAGTTCTTGATGTCCTAATTTCTCCGTAAATATGAAATTTGTGTATTTTTACGATTAGTTATATGCTAATGTAAATTGAAATTTGTTGGAATCTCTTAAATCTATTGTATTTAGCTATATTATGCTTTTATTGTCCTTTTGCTAGTTGCAAATAATTAAGCATAATGCTTAATATTTAAAAGCTTATATTTTTTATTTTTACTTTTTTTTTTAAGGTGATTGTGCTATTTGATTAGTTGATGAAGTGAAAACCCTCTGTTAATTGACTCGATATAAAATTTATTGATACATCTACTTGGGAATCACTACCTCGCATTCACTGGATTCTATCTTCACGAAAGCATCATTAATCCCTTGTTAAATATTGAAACCCCAAGTGCTGACAAATGTAAGGCTTTATTCCCTATTTGATCATCTTTCATAAATCTTTATTGTTTTGATTTTTGCTATATTTAAAAATAGAGATAAGTTATTGATCTTGTTTTTTATTGTAATGAATTGAAAGTAATTTTTTCATAATTGAAATAGCTATAACATAAGTAGCGTAAACAAGAAACTACAAAATTTATTAAATTAGGTTTACAGGTTTTTTAGGATGATTGTTATTATGCATAATTGATGTAGAGTTTTTTAGGGTTCATGATTATACAAAGATTTTTCTTAATCAGTTTGGACTTATTTCAGACAAGTCTATTATGAAAGCTATTCATTTATTGAAAGGCTTGATGGAGAGGGACAAAGAGAGTAAGGTTGATCTACATATTATTTTTATTGATCTAGAAAAAACTTACGGTAAGATTTCAAGAGAAGTTCTTTGGAGAGTTCTAAAAAAGAAAGGTGTTAAATATGACTTATATTCAAGTACTTATATTCAAGTCATTAAAGATATGTATGCTAGTGTTGTTACTTATATTCAAATAGAAGAAGGATTGACCAAATATTTCTTATTTTAGTTGGATTACATCAGGGATCAACTTTAAACCCATATTTTTTTTGCTTTAGGTTTGGGTGGTCTTACTGGACATTTACGGGATGATGTACCTTGGTGTATACTTTTCGCTGATCATATCCTTCTTTTAGATAAGACTAGAGAAAAAAAGGGAAAACTTGAATTATGTAGGTCCGCGTTAGAGTTTAAAGGTCTTTGCTTGAGTAGATCTAAAACTGAAGGCATGGAATGTAATTTTTATAGTAATAGATCTAGTGGTAGAGATGGAACTATGGGTGATCAAGTCATTAAAAGGTGTGAACATTTTAGATATTTCAGCTCTATTGTTCAAAGTGATGGTAATATAGATGTGGATGTTGTTAGTAGAATTCTAGTTGGTTGGTTGAAGTGGAGGTATGCATCGGGCCTATTGTGTGATAGAAACGTACCGCTTAGATTTAAAGGAAAATTTTATAAGATAATGATGAGACTTGCAATGTTTTATGATGCGGAATATTGGCCTTTAAAAGAAAATCATAAAACTAAGTGTTGCTGAGATGAGAATGCTTAGGTGGATGAGTGGCTTGACACTCGAGAGATAAAATGCGGAGCAATGTATCCGTGAAAGGGTTGGTGTAGTTCCAGTAGCAGACAAGACTAGAGAGAGTCGTCTTAGATGGTTTGGTCACATTAAACGCTGATCATCTTATGATCTGGTTAGGAGAGTAGATGTTTTAGATTCGACTTATGTTATGAAAGCCAGAGGTAATTATGAAAGAACTAGGGCATATTGTATAAAAAATGATCTTAATTTATTACAATTAATAAAAATACGCCACTCTATAGGTCGCAATGGAGAAAAGGATTCATGTAGCCGACCCTACTTAGTGGGATAAAGACTTGTTCTTTTTTGTTGTTGTTTTTGTATGATTTATAATGCACACCTTGCATGCAAGGCATATTTAATATGATTAACCGATGGTACCTAGTTTGAACTTTCACAGGAAAACAAATTATTAATGCTAAAGCATTTATTTACAACTTTTGATGTAAAGTTTAAAAATATCCAATCCATGTAATGTCTGTCTTTTAATAGAAATAACTACTAAAATTTAAGAATTATGAAGGACGCACGAACTCCTGAAATTTCATCCTAAAGAAAGTAATTAGACAATTAGATTGAAGCACAGGTTCAACCAAATGAAAGAAGCAATATATAAGGGAGACTTACACTCGAACAAGGAGATGACTTGTTCAGTAATGCTCGAAGTTTAGTACTTGATTAAATTATGTTATTGAACGTGTCAGATACACATAATCATAAGCTCATGTGGTGCCGTTGGGATCAGAGGAAATCATTCAGGGAAGCGGCCATTGAATGAGAATCAACCATTACTTGTGAAGAGAGAGTGGGAGGAAGAAGAGGGTGGTTGAAAGGTGCAAAATTGGAGACTAGGTTTTGAAAGGAAGTGATTTCATTTCATTAAAATCATCAATAGTTTTAGAGTATAAACGATACCTGTAAAGAGGAAGCATTTGCAATATTATAAAAATGCATGTGAGCCAATTCCTCCGCCTGATTGTGGTCTTCAGCAACCTCCCTTCAAGAGAATTGAATGAGAATCAACCACTACATGTGAAGAGAGAGTGGGAGAAAGATGAGAGAGGTTGAAAGGAGAAAATTAGAGGCTAGGGGTTGAGACAAAGTGATTTCATTTCGTTACAATCATCAATAATTTTTGGGTATAAAGGATACCTATAAAGAGGAAACATTTGCAATACTATAAAAATAATCTAAACAAATAGTAATCTACAAATGCAATGACAAATCAGAAATACCATCCAATTCACACAGAATTGGGAGAACCTTCTCTTGAAAGATGGTTGCTGAAGACCACAATCAAGTTGCGGGAATTGGGCCACATGCAACTTTTATGAGGCCTTCTGGGATTATATAGATGTGCATGATAAAAAATACATGCATGGAATAAGATAAATGCTAATAGTTGAGAATTATTTTAGGACTGGATTAAATGAAATGGTTTCTTGGTAGCACATCATGGAAGAGGTAGGTCATTCTATGGTGCAGTATAAACCATCTCATTAGCAGTAATAGTCTTCATAAATGGTACATACTGGTACATAATATTGGACTCATTACCATTCACTATAAAAAAAAAAAATGGGGTCTCAAGGTTAGACTGAAGTACACTTGTAGTCCCTTTTCTTTAACTTCACATTTATTGTTATCACCTACTTATGGATATTCATCTGTTGTCGGGTGTTGCTCGTGGAAGGAACTATTATGTTGCATGCACAAATTGCAGAGTGCCACAAATATGTTTTCTTTTGCTCATAACGCTGAGTTTATCGAACTCTCTTTCATTTAACCTTAAGCTTTTTGCTGGCTTTATTGAAGTTGTGACCAATATTGATTATGTTTATGTAAACCATGATATGGTTCACAGTCAGATTATGTAAATTATTAAAGTTGAGTATGATAATACCTGTGTCATTATTATAAGTCATAAATTTGCATGTATATTAGTCTGATATGAGCTTCAATGTCAAGGAGATCTATTATTGAACTTAAATAATGTGAATTTACATGTATATGATAATGATAATCATCACAGTTGCTGTTGCTCTTTGTGATAATCTCTAAACTAATCTTGGAAATTTTATCATAATGGTAATGAGTCATAAATTTGTGAGATTTGAGAACTATGTTGATTATTGCAACAATGCAAACTTTTTAGAAGGATATCAAAACTCTAAAAA